ATATATATATATATGTACATGTTTGTGTGCATGAGATAAATATTTATATGTATATAGGTTTGCAGCGTATTCCCTAAAGTTACATTATTACTATATTTTTAGTAAAGTGCTACGGCAGACATACTTTTGTTCTTCATTGCTAAATTTTACGAGTTTACGATATTTCAGTTTCCAGTTCTTTTAAATACGGTAATAAATCACCAAGCGCGTCTATGTAATAATTCGGTACTAGATCCCGTTCTTCTTGTCGTTCAGATTGCTTCCATCTTTCAACGTCTAATAATGCAGTTACTCCCGTTAAGACTAATAGAGTCGTAAAACCGCAGTGAGATCCAAAGAGTATATCTGTGTTACACCGGTCTCCGATCATCAAAGTACGCTGGGGATTGATGTTAGATCGTTCCATCAACATCTTAGCCATGTATTTGTCTGGTTTGCCCATAATTACTGCTTTCCTCTCTGAGCAACTTTCTATACATCTGACTAGACTTCCCGTACCTGCGTGAAAAAGTTAGATTTTTAATTAACGTTTTATATAAAAGTTAACTAAGAAAAATTTAGTTTTTAAGTTATTTAAATGCCTACCAGGTATCACAACGTCATTTGAAACCGGAAATCTTTCATCTGTATTAGTACCAATAAAATGTACATTGACGTCGTTTAGATATGTAGCTGCTTTTACCATTTTAGGATAGCTGAAGTGTTCATCGAATCCGACTATAACAGCAGCTACTTCAGGATCTTTCTCGAAAACGGAATACGGAATATTATGATTAATTGGGTCTGGCCCTATTCCGCAATACGAGATACCAGTCTGCTCCAATTCTTTCGCAATTGCTGGATACAAATTGACATCAGAATAAAACAATTACATAATCTGTGAACATTTTTCTGAGAATTTTTTACATAATTTTTTCTAATTTCTGAATAACTTTATAAATTTTTAGAAAATTTCATAGATTTTTTATAGGAATACTTTTCATAAGTGACAACAGGTATATCTTTTCTAGAATTCTTTATATATACACATAAATTTTAAAATAAATATTACTGAATATGAACGTTGATATTAAAATTTGATAAATACGATGAAATTGAAATGCAAAAACGTCTCATTCTATAATTTTTAATAAAATCTTATAAAATTTGAAAAAAGAAAATTTCATCAGAATAGAAGTTATAGAAAAAGAAATAATATTGAATATTTCAGAATTCACATATATAAAGAATTCTAAGAAAAGATATACTTTCTCAGCATTTTCAAAATTAATATAAAATTAATATAAAATTCTGAGAAAAATTTTCTCAGAAAAGGATAAAAGACATTTCATAATGCCATTGACAGAGCTTCTCACCTTCGGAACCAATAACATAGACCTTCTTGCGAAAATTTAAACTTTGCAGATAACATGCTGACAGATGAGCGGTGCATACGATGTCGTCTTTGGTTGCTTCAAACTTAAGTGTCCTGCACTTTTCTACCAAGTCATCGCGAGTCTTTGTGCTGTTGTTCGTCACGTAGAAAACTTGCTTGCCGAGCCTGTGAAACAGGTTGACGACGTCCGCCGAATGTGGCAGAGGTGTCATATGCATCCATAGCACGCCTGAAAAAAATATCTAAAGAATCATCATCGTACCAACTATGTTCGCACGATAGTTCTCACTCACCGTCGCAGTCCGTCAAGACGGTGTCAAACGAATTCAAAAACCTCTGGACGTTTTGACGAGTAAGCGTCTTCACATTTATCGCAGACATTATCACCTATAAAAGCGACGACATGTATCACGAATGTAGAACGACGGAAACGAATAAATACCCGTGTTATCGCCATAGGGACCTTCTAAGTACTATCGGGTGATAACCCAGATAACATTCCAGTATTTACCAGCAATAATCTACGTGTATTATCGAACACGCGAGTCAAGCACGGATCAGCTGAGATCGTAATGTCACTTTAAAAAAGAATCGGAGCTGTGCCATGATCGCGTTCAAGGAAAACTTTTGCCAGTTTTTCAATAGTGTAAAATTCTTTAATATGATTGGTTAATACATTTTAGGCAGTATTCATAAGGCAAGTACTCATTAAGGGTCGACAGGAGTGACCCAGAGACCTCTAGTCAAAGATGAATTTTTCATTCCCAAATTACGGCTAAAATACTGGATGGATCGCGTTTTAATTGTGATATTCGTAATTAGGAAAGGCTCCTGAATGCTCGTTTTTTTGTAAGAACTATTTTTTTGTAAGATCTTATTTTAATAAAAATTTTCAAGAATCAATTTGCAAATCTGACTCTGTACGAGCCTTCCCAGCAATATAACAATGAAATCCCAACAGGTTTCATAAGGAAATCGTCTATTAGTCAGCCATTTTTAATACCAATGAATGAATGTCATGATGGGCTGACAGTCATCAGCCAATCAGGACGCGGAACATCGGTTGCGCTTCTCTGATATCTAGGACTCTAGGTTGGTCAAAGTTGGTCACGATGTAATCGTGTTAAAGTCACTAGATTTATAAAGTACCGCAAACTCGCATCCATTTTGACGCAAACGCAGCCATTTCAAATTTACGCATTTGTATACACGTACTTTATTTGTGAAAATAAAGCCGTTGAGTATATAAATCAATGCTGTTGAATTGTAATTAGTTTATTTATGACCAAAAGAATATATAGGAATGCTTAATTTATATGTTCTTTAGTTTAATACGGATTTATTTGTGTAGAAGTTTTGTTCATAAAAGTGCACGAAAAATATGTGTAAGTACAGTTTTTAGAACTGTTCAGAAACACACGTATTTCAACCGTTTCAAGCCAACGGCACACTACTACTGGTTGCTACTACTACTGGATTGCTAGCTAGATCAGATTCTTGCCATCGGATTGGCTGCGATACTGGCACTATCAGCACTGTAGCCAATCATTCAGTGTAGCCAATACAGTGGCAAGCTTCTAATTTCTAATCCAGCTAGCAATCCGTCAGGAAAACAAACGTCGTGTGCCGCAAGCTTCAATCTTATTTTGTCGCGTAGTCCGAGCCATTTATATTAGAAAAATAAGCTTTTCGATAGTAAACCGTCCTTCTATTATATTGTTAGGTGGGTGCCATTAACCAAAGAAGAAGAAGAAGAATAGTAAACCATCATGAGCGTATGTTTTTGTTGTCGATATGAAGGGCTGTGTTTGGAAATATCACCCGAGTATATCGTCTTATCCTTGTTTAACATTGAATGAACAACAAGGATAAGACGATACTTAGGAAACCTGGGTAATATTTCCGAACGCAGTCAAGATTACTATGAGTTTTAATTGTTAATTTATAAACACAAATTGTATTTTCATGCTTCTTGTAGGTGTCATTTAAAAAATTAGAAGAAGACAACCGATTCAAGCAACTGCAACGATCTCTGAAACTAGCTATACTGAATAAAGAAGGTAGCAAGAATGAACATGATAGAAAACCATTGACTGTAGTAACCCAGCCTAGTATCTCTAACAGTAATGCTTTAGATTCCAGTACTGCAGTATCATCACCACAAACGTTTTCAAGTAACCGCGAGCAAGTTTTAGCTTCCAGCAATAATTTGAGAAACATATTAGAGAAGAAACCCATTAGAGAAAATACTACTAAGCTGAAAGCAATGACTACATCCAGTGTCAAAGCATACAATGATGAGAAGGATTATGTCGATCGGCTTACTATGCCACCTCCATTGGGAAATACAATTTATCGCACTGTTCGAGAATCACAAGACAGAATAGCATTATCAAATTACAAAGATGTATCTTTATCTGATTCATCTATATGTTCAACAATGAACACATATTTAAGAAACGCTCCTACGATATCGAGTAATACAGATGATAAAGCTACTGTATCAGAGTACCAAGAAACTTATGTCCTACCAAGTCTTATCCATGATTCTCAGAAGAAAAATCGAGTATTTTCAAAATGGAAAGTTATGTTAAACAGCCAATATGAATTGCTAATTAAAGGCACTTTAGAATGGTAAGTATAAAATAAAGTGCTGCATTGACATTCTTTTAAATATTAATGTTTATTTTCTTTTCAAGTGGTAAAATTGCACGTAGTAAACCAGTTATAAGAAGATACTCTGAAAAATGTGTTGAATCCAAATATAAAAATGTATACATTCTGGCAGGAAATATTATTGACGAAAGAAATGGTAAGAATCTGTATAAAATTTATTTAAATATGACAATTTACATATTAACTCTCGTTTTTTTTTCATTGTAAATTCTAGTAGATAAATTTAATTAGATTTTGCTCGTTTTTTTCAATGCAAAGTATAAAGAAAAAACGGTCTAAATCAAGCGATAAGATTTTTATAAGATAAATTTCTAGTTTATCATGTTAATAAAACATAAAAATATAAAATATAAAAAAAATGTAAAATAATATAAATTATAAAATAAGGCTTTATGAATAAATCAATTTTGATACTAAGAAGCATAAAAAGCCAACTCTGGAATAATTTTTGCAAAATTATTAGATATATAATCTTTTTAAATTAAATAAAATTAATTACAAACATTTCGATACCTTTATCGTGTCATCTTCAACGTGACATTTGAAAATACATGTAAACAATTGACAATATAAACATTTAACATTTCTCTTAATTTTGTCAAATTTAATTGTCGCTTAGACCGTATAAGATTTTGCTTTCATCTCTATGACATTGTAACATCTATAAGAATCGTTGAAGAAGGACCCGTTAGTTTCGAAACATTCGATATTATTTTTATGTTGTATTGTAAACTAGAAATTTATTTTATAAAAAAATCTTATTACCGATTCGATTTAGACAAATTTAAATCTATAAAAAATAAACAAAATGCAATCCAATTTTGCGATAATAAACATTCATTACAACTTTTGTACATATACAAGAATTTTTTCAAAAATTTCATATTGTTTAAAATAATATAAAAATCTACATTGAGAAATGCAAAAGTCCATGTTGCTGACAGAAAGTACAAAATTCTAATGAAGGATTAATGACTTATATACTTTATTACAGAAGTCAAAACCGCTGGTTGTTAGCGAATATCAATTTAATTTATTAAATTATGTACCTTGAACGTTTGTTTTGAGTCATCTTCAGCAACTATTTACAATATAAAGCAACGATCGCAATAATTGCATTGAACAAAGTAATAGAATTTGTTCCATGTAAACAATCTGTAGTTATTGTGAGGTAAGCTTCATACTCATCTAGTTAGATGTAATATTTGTACTGATGGTACTGCAGTACTGGAATCTAAAGCATCTGCATTAATGCTAGAAATACTAGGCTGGGTTATTGCGGTCGATTTACTTCTAGTTAGATTACTTCTAGTTAGATGAGTATAAAGCTTACCTCACAATTACTACAGATTGTCTACATGGAACAAATTCCATTACTTTGTTCAATGCAATTATTACAATAGTTGCTGAAGATGACTTGAAACAAGAGTCGAAACATTCAAAAAGTGCATAATTTAATAAATTAAACTGACATTTGCTAACAACCAGCGGTTTTGGTTCCTATTATCTGTCTAGTTATCGAATTTGAAATTGTTTCTTATTTTGAGAAGTCGATTGTAAAATTTATTAGTTTTTTATATACATTTCAATTCTCTTTATTACAGGATTACCGGATTATATTCGTGGAAAATTTTATAATGGTTTTCCTGACGATTGGGAGAATGTTTATCAATTATGGAGGACATATGTCGAGCAAGGATGCTCAGTAACATTTCGTTGGCCCACCCCTATTACTGACAGTGATGATGATTTAAAAAGTGAATTGACAGATATGACTCATGCATACGTAAAAAACAAGACAATTACCTCTGCAACAAAATCTTGTATTCCAAGTTTTGAAAAAAATTCATTTATAAAGCCTTTTACTCCATTTTATAACACTGAAAAAGGTACAATCGCTGTTGTACAAACAACGGATATGAAATCTTTATGTGATGAGTCTAATAAACAAAATTTTAAATTGGATATAAATTCACCATGCAATTCTAGGAAAGTGGATAGCTTAAAGGATATTCTTCAAGAAGATAAACTGAACATGATCATTAACAATTTGGCAGACAAAAATTGTTCTCTGGAGTATGTCAATAATATTGTTAAGATGTTGGGTTATGTGAATTATGCAGTATCTTACAGATCGGAATCAGAATGTGATAACGATTCAATCTCCACGAATAACGAAACCCATAAATCAGAAGCAATGTCAATCGAGAAGAGTTTAGTATGTGATAACAACTCTATGAATACTAATAAACTTCGAAACAAACCAACGGAATTGAAAAGCTCCATAACTGAACATTCCATTGATCCGGGATACGGAAGCAGAAAAACTGATTCTAACTCTATTTTGCCATCAAATGCATCAAATTTTAAACCAGAATATTTCAATAATTTAGATAAATCAGAGAGCGAAATTTATGCGGGTATGCCCAAAATATCGATTGAACAAGTTTTAAAAACTAGAAACTCGCCTAGAAAGATATATAAACGTAAAGTGAGAAGAAAAACGACTTATCCGTACACTCGAGAACATGTAATAAATCTGACACACAATACAAAAGAAACTAAGTCCATTCATATGGCAACAAATGAAAACCAAAAGTTACTTTCAAATGAAACTTACATTAATACAGAAAATGAAGTGGAAACAATGCACAACATGAGAAAATGTCACAAATCACCCATTAGTTCAAAATCACAAGAAGAAATGACTTTTTCTAATGACCGAAAAATGAATAGAAATCATTTTGAAATTTATGACAAAGGCAAATCTGTAACGCTTGTACAAAACAAACATCCAATTAATGCTTTTGACGCGCAAAAAAACAATGCATCACAGTTTGTTTCAGATATTGATTATACCATCAATTCTCACGTTGATATTGACGTTGATACCGTTAATTCATGCCAGACGGCAGGTGGAAGTGTAACAGCGTCACAGGCTAAGGTGAGCCAAGATATTGTAGCAACCAAAAAATCCAATGTCTCTTCGAAATTACATAGAGACTTTATCGAACAAACAAAAAACGACATTGTGGTAAAATCCAAACCTACCATAATTAGTTCGGTGCCGGTAAATTTTAAATTGATACTAAGTAAAGAAAAATTTAATAAAACTGCTGAGCAGCTACCTTTCCGAATAATAAACAATGATGAACAAAATACAGATATTCAGCTGTTGGAAAATGTTAACAAGAAGTTCATGTCAAAGACATCAAATGTTTCAAAATCTGTGGTCAATGATTCTCATAAGAAGACAATTGTCAATAATCCGGTAACAAACAATAATAAATTGCATAATCTAAATTCTATTAATCCGACGATAGATCCAACAACTGAGCAACCTAAAAAACCCAGTAAAGAACAGAATGGAATTAAAAAAACCCAAATATTGACTGCATGGATACCAAACGTAGTATATTATGCGGAATCAAAATCTAAATTAGGTTTAACTTTTCAAGGAAGATTAGTTAAGTAAGTTCTCTTAGATAATATGATAGAGCGGGGCTATTTCATTGTTTTTAACCTTAAAGTAATATATAAACTTACAGCAACAAACAATATTTTTTTACAGTAATGTGCTTGTAATTATTTTATATAGTCATGATTATTTTTTGAAAACACAAGTATGACTTTTAAATGTTCAGTATACGTTGCTCAGAAACAAAAATATCGTGAGAAATGGATGAAATAGCTCCACTCAACGTTGCTTAATAATCAAATGATTGTTATAATATATTTAATTAATAATTATATGTGTTATTATATGTGTTTTTTTTTCTTTCTATTTATAGTGAAGCTGGCTACATTACACACAGAAAGTATATGACAGACATCGTGTTAAAGCGATTATCATCGAGATTAATTGAAACAATGGATCATGAAATTTACGAACTTTCTGGAGATTTAAACGACAATAAACATAGTAAAGTAGCCGAAATCATTAACGTTGTATTATTGTACGTTGATAAATATTTGTTAATATTAACAACATTGCTCTTTATTATATTTAGTTATTCCCAAGGAACTTGTAAAACAATGTCGTTATGGGTGTCCTTTGAAGATCGAACAATTTTGTTTGACTTGGAAAACGTTGCAGCAAAGTGAGTTCCTTAAAAATGTATTTAACTTTTAATAAATATCATATGTTCATGTTTTGCCTTTATTTTCGTTTCCTAGATAATGTTGAAGAAATTCAAAAGAAATTTCATGATGCACCTGTTAGTTCGAGGGGTCGTCGTATTTTACCTCCGTTAAGTTACTGGACAGGTGAATAGATTAATAATAAAAATGTGAAAAGATAGATTAATTTATTGCAAAAATAAATCTAAAACCAGAGAGTAAAACTATTTTTTTTAATATTTTTTTACTATTTTATACAGGTGAACGTATATTGTTGAAAGATAACAATCCATTCTATAATCCAGGAAATTCATTTTCATCACAGAAATCGTCATTTTTACAGATTAATAATTCAAGAAAAATTCAAAAAAATACTGTGGTAATAATTTTTATAATTGCAGAAATATTTATTTTCTTTTATTATATATAATAATACCTATTTTTTTTAATATAGGATATTGCTAGAAAAACAAATGAACAAATAATGCCTAAATCAATGATGACTTCAGATATAAATAAAAATCAAGTAAGTTTGTACAATTTTATTTCTGTTAAATATAAGTTAGTAAAAAGTTTATGGATTCTTTTAATTTAAACGATTGATATCAAAAAATCTCGAACTTATGAAAAATCACGTAAGGTCAATGCTGCGAACAATACGAAAAGATCTGATAACTCGAGGAAATTCGTTCAAAGCAAACGACAGAAGTTGACGAACTCTATCGATTCCAGCGAAGAAGAGCAAACAACATCTCCGCGAAAGGTAATATTTAAATTAATCGTAACAAAGTCATTTTGCTTATCATATATTTTTAAGGAAATTATATTCTATCTTTTTTATGCAGTATGTGCGCAGTACTAGGACAAACAAAAATGTAAATTCAAACCCACAATGTACCATGACATTAAGGAAGCGATCAAATGTGACATATAATTATTATAAAGATGTTATGCAATCAGAAGACTTTTTATCGGAGAACGAAAATTCATTTGCATAACTCAGATGGTAATTTCACATAAATGTTTTGTATATTGATGTCAAACACGCGAAGTTTAATTTAAAAAAGTATTTTTCTACATATTTATAATATCGAATACTATTTTGTAAAAATCATAAGATATGTAATTTTCCTATGTGTATGATGTAATTGTGATATAATATGGAAATGCTACACATTTTAATAAGATATGAAAGATATAATATTTATATATATAAAAATGTAATGTAGGTAGAATAAATATTTTTGAATATAAATAAATGAAAGCCAAAGGATTATAAAAGTATAACACTGGATATATTGCTTTTCTGTTTAATATTATCATTTAACAATTGTAGAAACTGTATGTACGAAATATTTGTTTAATTATAAGTAAAATTATACAAAAAAAAATAACATTCATTAATGCACATCTAAATAAGAATTATAGCCGATACAAATACAAAAGATAATCATCTTTCATTATTCAAGGATTAAATAAAACATTAAAATCAGATGCAAGCTATTTAGCGATGTCAAGTAAATGCGACATTATTTTGAACAATTTAAAAAGTGTTCTACAAATATTTTCTTATAAAGACTTTTAATATATGACAGATTTTTCTATAAAATACCTAGATTGCTACAGTTATGAATCAGTCCGAGATAAATGTTAGTTATTTTATGCGAATTCATACATTTAATATCTTATAAGTAGCGTTATTAACTTTAAATTTATTTAAAACGGTCACCCTTTCTCTTTTGAGACCATTTGGGACCATCTTTCACTTCTTTTTATTGTGACATAACAGTCTAAGTATTTATATACAGAAATCTGTAAATAAGGCGGTGTTTATATTTAAGAAAGATTATACTACTAACATAATAAGTAGTTAATCAGTTTTCTATATCATAAACATAATAGCACCAATGAGAAATATAAAATATATCTTTGAGCAATAACTCAATTACAATCATTTTTCAACGCTCTCCTATCCATGTGTGACCTCTAAAATATAATTAATATAAAATATTAATAACTCTATCTTGATCTTAAATTTAATATCTCTCTCTTCTTATTGTAATCGATAAATAAATACCTTTCGAAAATAATTATAGTAAATTCTAATTTTTTATTCAAATTATTTTTCTCATTGATACCATCAATGTGTAGGAAAGTGAATCACAAAAAGATTGCAGAGCGTGTTCGTGAGGCCTTCATAAAGTTTCCATAATATTTTATTATGTACATAGGAAGAAAAACCGCGGAAATATTACATAATAAATAAATTACAGTACAACACCGTAGTTTATTAATAATCAATCAATAATTCCTCTTTTGATTTGCAAACGAAATCTCGCGTGCAAGAAAGTGGAAGAATTCACTACGCATGTTGCATGTCTACAACGATCAATGATCGATTCAACGCGAGCGATCGATGATGTTTCGAAATGAAACAGATATCGTCGAAAGCACACATACTCTTACTATTTCATACATAGCATGATATGAGATTAACTAATAAATATAAATCAGCTATGCACAATCCCGTTAGCTTTCATCATATAAGGGAGTACCATCTCCGCTGAGGGACATACTCCGTGGACTAGAATTCGTGTGTGGAGTGCCTCGCGGAGATTTATACGACGGAGTACGTGTAGAGGGAGGTCTACTCCTTCCGGAAGGCGTTGTTCTACCGGATGACTCGTCATAGCTACGCGGAGTCTTTCTGGACTCTTCGTACCTAGGCGTCGACCCGCTGCAAGTACACATACAACCATTGACGAAAATCAAATCAATAATATTGACGTCTCGTATACATCAACAATACTTAATAAAAAAATTGAAAATGATTGTTATTTAATACATATTTACTTATTATACTTACGAGACTCGAGGACCACTCTTTAAACGTGCCCACGCTTCGGCAGCCTTCTTCCAATCCATGGGATCACCGGAAGGAGTGGACAAGGGTGGTGTAGGTCTGTGTGATTGAGCAGACCTGTGATGGCTGGGCGTCATTGAGGGCGGCGGCGGATGTACGAAAGGCCCTTGATGATGGCTAGGGGTTTGTTGACCATATCTAGGAGTAGGCTGACCATGATGCGGTGTATGATGCGGCGTCTGATACGGAGTCATAAACGGAGTTTGACCAGACGGTGTGTATGGCGTGTTAGGATATGTGTGTACTCCACCATAGCCGGTAGCACTAGCCGCTCCCGGGGTGTGTGGCGGATAATTATGCGGTGTTTGATTCGCCACTTGTGATAACGAGTGCAACATGTGATGTGGAAGATTCTGTGCAACTCGCTGTATTGCTTCTTGATTCATTCCTGAAACAGTAGCAATCGAAATATTAACAGGTTACAGATCGCATATATTTGTACATTGCGAAAAATAAGCAAAATAATTAATAATATAGAATGTATAGAATTATACTTAAATTTAAAAAATGAAGTTTTTTTTCTAATAAAATATACAGTTTGACCTGTACTATAATTCTAAAGTGACTAACAATGATTTAGTGATGATATTTAGTGAGATAAGCTTACCACTGACTGTTCCTGGCGTAGTAGTATAAGGTGTTCTAGAAGTCATCGCACCGCGTGGTGTACTAGGAGTGGATTGTCCAGGAACGGGATCCCTAAAGTGTTCCTTGAACCAACGTAATAGGTCGCTTACTCTACCAAACATCTGCGCCCGAAATCTGAAGCCCTCGGATGTCACTGTAACGTACTCGTGACGGCAACGAGTGCGCGGCAGATACGAGAGTAAAAACTTTCCAGGATAAGCCTATGAAAAAAAAAACAAACGAAATTGTTTTGTTTAAAAATGAAGATTTCCAAAAAAACTGCTATGTTATAAAATTTACTGCTAGTACAAAAATTAGCCATGCGCTTATTTTACCTTAGCTGCCGATATGATATATGGAATTCCACCAGGATTCTCCTTTTTCTGTTCTTTCAGTATATCCTCTGATTTATCCTTGATACCCTCTACAGCGGACTTATAGTATTTGAAATCCAGCAATTCGGAAGCGTAAGCGGCCATAGGATTTACATGTCGAGCAATAATTTCGTCTAGATCCTCAAATTCCTCGTTGCCTATCCATAGGCTTTGTCCCAATGAAAAAGCATTTTCTTTACCCTCTTCACGAACGTCAATGTGCTGTAAAATGTCGTCAGTAACTTTCCACGTGACTGTCAAATGGTCGGCACCTTTGCTGCTTGGTCTCACTATTGCCTCGCCTTGTTTCATTGTTTGCATTAATTTTACAGTCTCGGCGAAACTAATATTATGAAAAGATGGATGGACAATAACGCGTTTCACGTAGATCTGCCGCTGTTTTGCCTTCTTCGCGTCCTCTTCTACCTTTATGTCTCTTTGCTCGGAATCGGTGTCATAAAATGGATCTCGTTGCGGCCTGTAAATTCAATTAAAATTTATAATAATGTATACAGTAATATATCTTGAAAGTTATCCCTATATATTTTAAATTGAGAAATCTAATTTTTTCTTTTTTTGCAGACTTTTTATTCAAGTGATTGTAAAGACCATAAATCTAAATAGAAATTACTTTATGTACTAACATTATATTTTGTACGTTTATATAATTGACTCACCTCCATTCATGATTTTTGTCAGCGAGATCGCTGCTCTTGCTGGTACATTCGACACTGAATCGGTCTACCTCGATTTTAATAATCCGGCAATGAATGATCTGCCCCATACCGACTCTCTCGCAGGGATTTGCGACGTGTCGGTCCGACAGATTCTTAATGTGAATATAACCGGAGATACCATTGTCCAGTCGTAATCTCACACCGGTAGCTTTACCCGGACAAGCGCCAGCATCGAAGTGATTCCACACCTCCGACAACTCGGGAAAATCGTTCTTCAGGCAGAACGGACATTGCCACAGACCAGTCTCTTCGTTTCGCACCGGGTTCGCTTGATCAAGCTGGTCGCCCTGTGGTTTTCGATGACTGATGCCGATTACAGTAGCCAATACTAGTTTACCGACGTAGAAAGTCTCGGGTGTTTCCTTCGTCAAAATATCGAACAATTTCTCCGCGCTCGATGATTGATACAGTACGCGGAGATCCTTGTATCGACTGTTTAATTCAGCTCTAATATCATAGAGAGTAACGCACTTATTACCAAAACCTTGTCGCTCCAGTTCTTCTGCGAAAGCGTCGAGATCCAAGTCTTTCAAGCGTTCTGGCGATTCAAGTATTTCCTCCAAAGCGCCGGCAGGATTGGCGTCCTCGTCGTCATATTCTAGTGCATCAACTGCCATCTTTCTCGCCCATTCATAAGTCTCGGGATGTACGCGCGAACCATCAAGTACCTCTACATATGCTTCGGTACTATCACCAAGGCTATTGGTGTCGATTTTGATGAATCCAGCGCAATTAATGAATACCTTTGGTCCCATATGACATGCTGTAACTAATTGCGTCCTATTCTCTAACCGCTGATTTGTTTGCTTCAACATCTTGATCAATGCCTGACCCTTTCGCGGACCAAGACCGCAAACAAATTGAACAAGGTTGCCGCAGTATGCTTGTTGGACTGCCTTATTCACATCTACGCCAACTTCATTTACGCGATTGACGAATTCCAAATATAAATTTTCCAATAGTTCTTCCTTGGGTAACTGATCCTGCAAATTATGATATTTGAGGCAGAGAATCTCTTCGTCAGCTGTACATAATTGTGAGAACTCCACCAGCGGATCCTGCATTCTTCTCGCCAACGAAATAGCCTGACGTAGCAGCTCTGGATAATCCCGGAACTCTGAATTACCTTTGTTACTATTGGCGTAAATCTTGGCGAGTTCGTTATCGCATATCTCCACCTGGATATTAGGAAACTGTTCTTCCTCCGATAAATGCGTGATACACTCCTTGACATCAGCAACGATCATTATTGCTTCCCGAGATTCGCCAGCCACTACGATTACATGTGGCTTCTTCGTAGCTATGAAGTTCTTTATCGCTAGTAAATCAGCCTCTTTCATAGTTTTCTCGTTTTCGCGATAACTGTTCTTGCGCTTCATCAGATG